AACTCGAGAAACCTATAATTCCCACTAAACCTCTCTGCAGCGCAGCAAGTCTTCGGTACCAGAATCTCGGTAACCGTACCTCAGGGGTGGGGGGGGGGAAGCGAATTGATTGGAACTGGTGGGTTTGGGATGGGAAGGGGGGGGGAGAGAGAATAGAAAAGGAAGGTGCGTCTTGTGTGTGACAGACGGTCGCTGCTTTTGGGTTTCGCCGACCAAAAAGAAAAAATGACAAGGAGGGTGGGGACGATGCAAAGAGTTTTTCATAGCGCGTCACTCGGAATTTTCAATTTTGGATGTTCTGAAGTGCTGAGTACTCGAATATTACAGTAATGAGGGTACTGTATTGTTGAGTACTTGTAGAGAGGAGGGAGGGGGAGAGAGCTTGCCTTGCTTTATGCGAGTGCTGAAATGTAAAACATGTTCCGTTGTGGGCGGGTGGTCGTCAGTTGTACTGTACCGTGCGATGTGATATCTCGCAAGGAGTTTTGTTGATAATGATAAATGTGTATACTCGTAGTGTACTGTACTGTACGAGTACTGGTACGGTACCGTACCTGTCTGCCTGTCTTCAACTATTATGATATGATATGATATAGTTATGGTATATATAGTAATATAATACTGCACTTGAGTAACTTTCCTTTTCATGAGCCGTCCGTCATATTGTGAATAAATATCCAGGACTCTTGGAGATTTTCCCAGGTCTCTCTGTAGTTGTATTGATCTCTCTGTACGAGTAGATGCTTTCTCTCTGCTTACGATGATGACACCTCGGATGCACTTGTATACATATCATAATCTGAGAATCTTGTGAGCAAGGTCAGTAAACGCTGGAAACCATATTACTCGGAGAGATTATTATCATTTTTGATCTGTTTTGTTTGTCTGTTTTACCATGATACCATTCGGGTATCACACTGCTCGGGTGTTCCGTTACAGCGCGATGGGGTCTTAGACTATAATATAAAAACTAAACCGTAAGAATTCGATAAATATATATATATACGGCAATTACCGTAGTCCATCGATCAAGCCTGATAAGAGCAAGCAAGCAAGCAAGCAACTGTAGACAATGTAAAAAACGGGTTTCCAATCATACCCGTAAGTTCAGTCCCACCGAAACAGAACAAGGAAGGAGAAAAAAAGACAATGAAAGAAACCAAGAAACGGGGATTTCACCATTTATGATCCTCCCCCTCGCCTATCATACCGTACCATGGGTGATGTTTAAGCAGACGAAATGGTCGGTAACCGCTTACCCATTACGGGTGAGTTGGCCGGTGTGTTTGTTTGTTTGTGTGTGTGTGTGGGGGGGGGGGAGAAAGTTTTGTCTCACGGATAGCACCGGGGAATCCATCACCTTGTACTGTACTCATAGAGAGTTTTTGGTTTGTGGGGTTTTTGTTTCGAGTTCATGATAAGGTCTCTCCTCTCCTCCTGGCATAGTATATAGTACAGTACTTGTTAGTCCACGGTAGTTTTGACGGCTCGGTTAGGGAGAGGTGATCTGCGCTCCAACTTTTTGTATTGTCCCGGTTTTTCCGGGATGGCGTTGTCGCGACGACCCTGCGAGATGAGGTGAGGAATGTCGTTAGTCTATGGGCTTTTTGTCATTGGCGCTTGACCGACTGCGCGGGCGGCAAGGTTTGGCCGACTCGTAGGGTTTGTTATGGAGTTACAGGTATGGTACGGTAGTTAATCACGGCGGTGCTGAGGTGAGAAGCTTGAATACAAGTAACTCTGTTGGCCTGGAAGGGGAGGGATTGGTAGACTATTGTTTTAGGAGGGAGTTTTTTTTTTTTTTTTTTTTCCCTTGCATATTAATTTATTATAGTGGTTTGTTGGGGGGAAGGGGTACAGTACTTTTGTTGTTACAACTGTTTTTGCGAGTGAGTGGTCGTGTTGGTATCATATGCTCTTCATAGCAGGTCACTCGGAAATGTTTTTTCTTCGTGATTGTCCCTGTTTCGTGGGGGACAAGGGGACACGGGGTTAATGTAATGTAATGCAGTGTACGCGCCGATATGCCAATAGCGAAAGCACGGTTGGGCGTTTACATTTGCGTTTGTATTTGCTGTGTTCTTGTCCTTTTTTTTTTTTATCTCGTGCCTCATGTCAGGCATTTCTTTCCTTCCTTGTAAACTGCAATGTTTCGTAATAAGTTCCCTCGCAAAATCCTTTCTTTTCTTGCTGACGGGCGGTGTGTGTGTGTATCAAGGTGGCCTGTGACCACTATCGTCA